TTTACACAATTATCTATGTATTGTGATGAATTGTATGAGCCCCAATAAATTGATTTAAAAAAAAAAGAAGAAAATTATTTTAATACAATGAAAGAGTGAAAGTACTCTCAGAATGGTAGTGATGGGCCAGGCAGATAAAGGACAAGTATAGAATGATGGTAATTTTTAAGAGAGTGATAAATATGGACAAAACCTAGAATAAATTTTTGTTGATCTGGACATTATACAAAAACACTAGCTTGTTTGTCAACTAGCAGGGATAATACAGTGAACAGAACATTATGAGGACTGGAAATGGGCTTGTTGTTGTTAGTGCAATTCAGTAGGGTCCAGCTCACACTGACCTCATGCACAACAGAACAAAACACTGCACAGTCCTGCACCTTCCTCACAATTGTTCCTGTGCCTGAGCCCATTGATGCAGCCACTGTGTCAACCCATCTCCTTGGGAGTCTCCCTGTTTTTGCTGCCCTTCCATTTCAGCAAACATGAAGTCCTTCCCCAGAGACTAGTCTCCTGACAACATATCCATTCTGATCATACTTCTTCCAACAAGGACAGCTTAATTGATTTGTCCTTTAAGCAGTCCACACTATCGTCTACCTTATTCGATATCCAACTTTCAACATGTATATGATGCAATGGAGAATACCATGGCTTGGGTCGGGCACAGCTTGGTCCTCAAATTAACATCCTTGCTCTTTAATACTCTAAAGAGTTCTTGTGCAGCAGATTTACCTAATGCAATAGGTCTTTTATCTCTTGACCTGTGCTTCCATGAATATTGATGGTAGATCCAAGTAAAACAAACTCCTTGATCACTTCAATCTTTCCTCAATTTATTGTGATGTGACCTATTGATCCAGAGTAAGGATCTTGGTATTCCTTACATTGTCTTGAAATTCAAACTGACGGCCACGATTCTTGATGTTCATCTTCAAGTGCTTCCGTCCTCCTCACTTTCAGCTAGCAAGGTGGTGTCATCTGCATAATGCAAGTTGTTAGCAAACTTTCTTCCAATTCTGACGTCACATTCTTCTGTAGAGTGTCCACCTTCTCTGATGAATTGTTCAGCATACCGATTGAACAAGGATGGTGAGAGGGTACAGTCCTGATGCATATCTTTCCTGATTTAAAACCATGCATAACTTTGAAGCATTGTCAAAACCTAACCCAAGAAAGGAGAACATTGTTGGAGAGACTGCTGGAGAAAGGGCCCCTCAGGTCTGGGGGCTGAGCAAGAGATTATTTGTCGGGAGTGGGGGAAGAGCACAGTGACATGAGTGGGATAAAGCCTGTGGGAGAGGAGCCTTTGGCTTCTTCGTGTGTTGATGGGGCCCTACGCAAGCTATGGAGAAACCGCTGCAAAACATCTTTTAATGATCAGAAGGTGGAATGTGGGAAGTATGCATTTAGAAAAATTGGAAGTGGTCAAAAATGAAATGGAATGCAGGAAGATCGATATCTAAGGAATAAGCGAGCTGAAATGGACTGAAATTAGCCATTCTGAATTAGAAAATCATTTAAGATTTAATATGCCAGAAATAACAAAATCAAGACAAATGGTGTGGTACTCATTGTCAGAAAAAATCTTGCTGAATTCATCCTGATGTACAATACTGTTTGTAATAGGATTATAGCTATCAACCTTCAAGGAAATTCAATCAATACAACTATTATTCAAATTAATACACAAACTACAAAAACTAGTGATGAAGGAATTGAAGAATTCTACCAACAATTTAAGTTGGAAATTTATCAAACATACAATCAGAATTCATTGGCAGTTATTGGTGACTGGAATGCAAAATACAATTAAAATGAAATCATTAACAATATTATTATTTTCTTTATTAATCATGACATTACTTATTGGTCCAGTTGTGAGGATTTTCATTTTGTTTGTATTGAAGTACCATCAATAATAAAGACTCTAGTCATTGATTTTCATCAGCAAGTGCTTTAATTCCTCTTCACTTTCAGCAAGCAAGGTTGTATCATCTGCATTTCTTAGGCAATTAATGAGTTGCCTTGTATTCCTGGTGCCAAGTCCTTCTCCATATAGTCCAGCTTCTCAGACTATTTGTTCAGCATAAAGATTTCATCAGTAGGGTGAATGGCTACAACTCTGACATACATCTTTACTGATTGTAAGCCAGGTTGTATCCTCCATTCTGCTTGAATGGTCAGTGTACAGGTTCTATATGAGCATAAAATATAGTATACAAATTGTATTAGTTTAGGTACTTTGGAGAAACAAATCCACAGCAACTCACGTATAAGAGAGAGTTTTATGCAAAGAAAATGTGCATCACGAAAACATCCCAACCCAATGCTGCCCAAGCCCACAAGTCCAACATTAACCCATACCCAACACCAGTCCACAAAGTCCTTCACCTCACAAAACAGAGGCAATAATGCCGGCTGCCGGAGGAAAGCTGAGTCAGTGAACGTGAACGTGTAAGCATCTCAGCACTGGCAGGGGTCTCCACACGGCTGCTCCAGCACCCAGGGCTGCATCAGGATAGATCCATGCGGCTTCTCCTTGGGGATCTTGTAGGAAGTCAATCTTGCAAGCTGAAGCAGGGAACTACTAAGGCAGCTGCACCCGATGCAACCATCACAAAACAAGAGACCCGAGAACTAGAAAGGCGAGGCTTCACCACCCATTTATCCCTCTGCCTTTCAACCAGCACCACATGTGATTATCGGCCAGGCTGGCACAATTAACTAACTCACAAA